CACCAGGACCTTGACTTTGACAAAGCAATCTCAAGATGACAGCGGTCTGTTATTTGGAATATTCCAAAACCATTCAGTAGAAAAGCGTTTAATGTACCAGTTTAGAGAAATTAAAGTGCTAAAGCAGAGCACAGAACAACACACCAAAGCATAAATGCAACCCTTAGTCACATATTCCCAATGTGCACATGTATTAAAGTCATTTAACATTTCACTTTAAATTTTTCCCTTGGGCACCAATAGTCTAGCGAGCCGCCTGTAACTCTGTTAAGTGGTGATGATGTAACTCCTCGTATTACACTGCAACACTGATATCACACACATTCTCACATACTCTCACACCCCTGGGTCTTGAGTCAATAAATGAAGGCAGCTGGCTTTGATTGCACTTATCAGTCAACATTTATTCCCAGTACATCTTCATTTAGCGCCCATTGCAATGCTGTTATCTTGTTGGGCAGAAAATATGAGATAATCCATTGCCAGTACAGCTGAAATTTTGCATGAGACGTTTGATGTTCCCACTGTAGTCTACACAATACGGTCAGTCATTAAAAAACGCATGCAGCGATAGGAGACACATTCTCTGAGGCATTCCTCTTCAGAGGGAGCATTGTTCAGTATCATTTCTTTTTTCTCTCAACCCTTTCTTCCATTCTGGCATGGATGCAGAGAAAGATCCCTGATATCTTCAGGTCAATGTGGCCGCATCCTGGGCCTTAATACAAAGAAGCTCATAATTGGATAATTTCATACAGTGAGCAGTAGTTCACCCTTGTACTATGGATAATCCCTGAAGGGATACTCATATTCACAGTCTGAACAGCAAGTCAGTCAAAGCAGCTGGGAGTGCAGAGTCCCTCTGCAATACTGGTTGTATGGTTGAAGAAACCTCCGTAGGTATGTATCTTACATTATAACCTCAAGGTGTTGCTGTAAATCTACAACCGCCAACAGGTAAAATTGACCCACTATTAGAATGTACTGATTTTCAAGATACAAACACATTACCTGCTCCACTCCCAGGTTACGCTAAACATCTATACTAAAAACTATATCCGTAGTCATGTCTCCCCTAAAATAGAGGTTTTAAAATTCGGTGTTATAGAAGTTAGTTGGAGTATTTTTTAGCAGCACAGACGCTACTGAATGATTATAGAAATATTATATATAATATAATAACACTACAGGCAGCAGTGTGTCTCTTCTGCAACTACAGTTTGCTACTTTGCTAATGAAGACGACACAGCTCTATAGTCTATTTAAGTTACAATATAGTATATAATTCAACATTTATAGTATATAGTTTAAAAAATATTATAGATCCAAGATAAAACCGACTCTCCTTCATTCAACGTCTGATTTACATTCGTAACTCTGTTTCTCTTTCTCTTATCCATAGTGAAAATGTGAGTGTGTGCCTGTGAATTATGTTGCAGCTCTTTCAGGCACAGTATAGACAAAAGGTGTTGCCAATAGCAACATAGAATCTTTATTTAATTGCACAAAATTAATAGTGCAGCTGGAGGACAGCTGTCTCTATAGAGGTCAGTTTTACCTGTGATTATAGGTATAAATGTCCATTTTTAGAAATCTGGCTTTAACATGACAATTTTACACAGAGTGGTCTACATAACGCATTTTTCGATTAAGTCAAAGATTGGGGGGCTTATTTCATTGAAACAAAGTAACATAATGGGAAAAACAGCTGATTTTACTCTTTGGCATTTAATATGCATTCCAGCCAAGTGTCTGTCATGCAGGGGAGTCAGGGGAGACATCATTCCAATCTTCATTCACTTTGTTAAAATGTTTAATACACCAATAATGACACTGATCTCTTGATATAGAAATGTAGTTATTTTTTTTGCACCAGGGTGTCTTAATTTTGGGAAGATGGTATGTACTACATGCATGCTAGACCAGTGAGCCACCAGGGAACCTCTGTCCTTCATAAAATTTTTTACATGCAAGTTGTGACTGCATGTCATATTTTTGACAAGAATATGTAAAAACTTTGGATGAAAAATGTTTTCCCTACTGCAAGTCCAGTAGATATGGTGATTTCATTTGATACAATATTTTATTTTATGTCAAATCACTACCTGGATGGCTGAAATAACTTCACCGACAGCCATATGGAAACCACAGGGAAATGAAGCTCCCTCTAGTGTTTAACTCTGATAAATAAAATATGTCCACAGCAGACCCAGGAGCAGAAACACCAGAAGAATATTTCTTGCTTAACCAACTGAAAAATCCACACAGATTTCCACATTCAACGGAGGACAAAACATTTGGAGAAACAGTTGTGCTACAGTGTTTCTACAGCTGGTAGAAATTAGGTTGCATGCTCAAATGCACCTGAGAAAAGAAATGCGTTGTCCATCTACTGCATGAGATTAACACTGTGATATAGATACTATGATATATAGTGCAAATGTCATCTTCTGTAATATCAAATGTGGACATAGATCGGACCTTTTAAACATACTAGTTTGGCTAATCAGTCAACTCACATTTCCCAAAGTTTCTATAAACAGATGACACCAACAAGTGATGTTTGAACACGTCCAGTAAATACTTAAAAAAAAGAAAAAGAAAAAAGCCTGGAGAAAGGATTTTAACTTTTCAAGCTTGCAAGAAGGCAGTAGAAATATTTCTGGACTGTGTTGCTGCTCCCCTGGTGTGCAAGGCCATCTGAGATGTCACTAGGGGGCATTGTTATACCGCAGGAGGAGAGACCTACCACCGATCAAACATACATCCGTTACTATGGCAACCAGACGTTCTGCACTCCTCTCTCTGTGGAATATATTTTGCATGTTTGCTCTGCAGCTCAAAAACATAGAGCAGAGGTCAGTGTGAGCTACCATTGAAACTGTACGTATTATAAAATAAATTGCTACGAGGAGACTCAACACTTGAATAAAGAGTTTTCAATTTGGGCGAAATGTTATTTTCCCATATGCTATAGAATTGCTTCTATTAAATACAGAGATGTGAAGAGGAATCTAAAGATCTCACTTATCACCAGTGAAGTGGTTCAAGGCAGAGATACACAACTTGAGGGCAAGATTGCAGGTCAGAGGAGAACAATGGCCTCATAATGGGTGAAAATGTGGGATCTCCAAGCATGCTCCGGTGCCTCTGTCTCTGTGGAGGGTAATGTCAAGGTTCAGGACATGGTGTTCACTGCTGCTTCGAGTGGTAATTGGAATGTAAGCTTTTTCTCTATACCCTTACAATTAAGTTTGAACCTTGTGGGAACGAAGCATGGCAAGGACAACTTGACACTGAAGAGCTTTATTTATGGTCTTTATGTGTTGATAAAAGTTTGAGTGTTTCTGTGTATTTGCAAGGAAAAGCCGAAAAGTTTCATCAAGATTTTATAAGATTAAAATATTAAATAAAGATTCATATTCCTGTTAAAAGCCCTAAAGGCTTGTGCTATAAAATGCAAATACTTGCACACTTTGCACACTGAAATAAGAAACATATGCACTCAGATTTGAATTATTTGAATGAATTACCTACATTTAAATTCTCTAATGTCTAAAATATAGTATATATAATATATAACCATTATAACAAATGTCCTTCCCAAGTTTCATTGCCAAAGTATGCCTGGAAAATAAAATCTCAAATGTATAGTCCAACTAAGAGTACTTATTCTTACACAGGAAATGGAGAGCATCCTTTACTATGTGATTTGATCCTCTGATTACAAAGTGAGTACCAACAAAGACATACTAGAATGCTTAGTCTGCTGTTTTGTCACTATGTCCACATAACTGTGTCCTATGTCTGGTTTATAATGCTGCTGTTACACAAAATAAACCAATATACTGATATTATTCAACATCAGTAAGTTTAACTTACTTTACCTTAAATAAGATTTGAAATCTGAGACTACTTTTTTTTTCATTATTCTTATTTTAGTGCCTTTCTGAGATCAGCCTGCAATTAATGATTATTTTCTTTAGTTGGTAATCTGACAATTATTTTCTTGATTAAGCAGGCAATCGTCTATAAAATGTAGTGGGAAAAAGCCAAACACAATTTTCTGAAGCCCAGGTTGATTCAAACTGCTCGTTTGCTTTGTCCAACAAACAGCCTTACCACCACAAACAGCAGAGAAATTCTGTAACTATTCAATGATGAGAAGCGAGAACCAGTGATTAAAAAAATGAGTTAAATTATTCATGGATTGTGATAATTAATTGACTGTTTCTACTCTTCACTTCAAATTCAAATCTACATCATCTGGGGACAGGTTTTAGTTTATCTCAGAGATAATTAAAGCTGTGGATGTGATCAAATGGTCTGGATTCTGCAATCCGCAAGAACGCTCTCTCTCCACATATCTGCACTTCACATTCCTTCAGCGACAAACACTTCATCTGAAATGTTCAACTCTGAGGCAATAAAACACACTCAACACGTGCTTTATTTTTGGTTAGTGTTAATTGTGTTTGTTCACTATAGAGCTGATATGACTCTGGAGTGCAAGTGAACTCAGATGGGTGTGTCCCTCTGAACAAACACATAGTTTTGTGTGTGTTCACCTTCTCACTCTCTGTGAGTGCGCATGAGTGATAGGCTATATTGTAAAGTAGCACTTGTCCTTTTTGAAATTCTATGCTATAGCTATCAGCTTTGGATTTGAGCAGTCAAATACAGTAGAGAGAAGGTAAATCCACTCAGCTGCCATTTATCCTCTTTAGATATTCGGAAAGGGCAATTACGTGCATGAATGAGCAGTAATTGTCCTTTGAAATCACCTATAACCAATATAACTGACGCTTACCAGGGGGCTCGGCGGTGTTATGCATATGTGCTGTGCGCAGGTATGAATGGGTGGGAGAGCGATGACGCCGCTCTCGCGCCTTCGACTTGGATTGATTGACAGTCGACACGCGCGCGCACGCACACGCGGGATGAAATATTTCCCTACCTTCTGTATGCGCACATATTTCACTCAAAGCCTATGGGTGTGTGCCGGTTATAGTGTATGACAGCAGCCATTCCACCGCCTGTCCTTTGACCTCTGTCGCTTCCAAAATAGAGAGACGACCTTGTGGAGAGTTGAGGCAGAGCGGCAGTTGTGAACTAGTCCAAGAGTTCCGCAAAACTCTGGGAGTGTCGCAAAGTTTTCCAGCAGGAGTTGCGGTGTTTGTCACTCCCTCAGCTCTGAGTCATACCGCGGACTTAAAAAAAAAACGTTGCCATCACTCGGCGAACTTTTCCTGAGGGAAGACGAAACCTCGATAGGTAGAGGACTCTTCATCACCAGCCATCACTCCAGTTGCTCGTCTTATGGGTAAGCTGTGCAACACAGTGTATCTTTAGACAACTTAATGTTACTATCTGTGAAATCTAATCTGTGAAAAAGGAATCTGTGTCCATGCAGGTTATTGGAGCCAAAGTGAAAAATCTTATAGTAACTGACATCAAAAACCCTAGAAGTTTAGATTTTATTTTTTATTAATCAACTGCGCTGGTGTGTTTCTCCCTCCCTCTGCAGGTGAGGTATTTATATGTTGTTGTTTTCTTCATTCTTACAGTACAGTTGGACATGCAGCTGTGCAAAGCACCCCCCATTTTAAAATATTTGTTTCTGTAACCAGCATACTGTAGCTCTTCCTGGTGCCGACATTAACTTCAAAGCTATCCAAAGTCAAATTCAAGTTCTTCCAGACCTTCCTTGTTTTGGGTTTTTTGTTGTGACTGATACAGATGCAGTCAGGTTAAACTCACTTGCTCACTTGCTTTCTACCTCTTTCCAAAGTCAGGAATTCCTTACATGAATGCAAACGGTTCACAGTGAGATCACATCCCTCCGTGTCTGTTCGTCTGTCCGCTCACTCAGAGAGTAAAGAGGAGTGGTGGCGGCTGAATTGCCCGGAGCATTGGCCACGCTCTGTCCTGTAAAGCTGGCCTATTCAAGCCTCTGCAGCTTTGGCATAGTGAAATGGGTCGAGTCTCCCTCTTTGTGTGACCCAACTTGACTGAAATGTGGTAATTGGGGAGTCCTGGGATCCTCACTCCCTGTGGTGATGTCTGGACCAAGCTTTTAATAAATTCATTTACAGTACAACAAGTTGTTACATGAAAAGCAGGTCAGCTTTTAATTTAAACTTTCATCCGGTTGTGTGTTCATTCTGGCGTGGTGTGCCCCGTTCTCAGATTCTTTCTGTGATAAATGAGGAATGGTTTCTGCTCAAGCTTCTTAAACATTAAAATGTTATTAAAATTTTATCGTCATTGTCATTAATTATCATTGCGCTTTGTTCTGTTGGTAGGATAAAACAAGACGTCTGAAGACATGACATTCTATGAAACTAATGGGCTTTTTTCTTTTCACTTTTTTTTTTTTTTTTACAATGTTCTTAAATGTTCTTAACCAAATGATTAATCAGTTCATCAAGAAAATCAACTCCTTACTAATCAATGAAAATGTCAGTTGTAGCCCGATAATAAGCACTCCCAATGTTTAATCTTTGGTTCAGGGCTGCAAATATGATTTTCATTATCATTTAGTTTGGTGATTCTTTCCTCAGGGAATCGTTTTCTCCATAAAATCTTAGAAACTTTGAAAAATTACACAAACACAAATGAATGCGACTTTTTTTCACTGTCAATTATGACAAAAGAAAAGCATCAATCCCTCACATTTGAGAAACTGGAAGCAGCACATTTTTGCCTAAAAAACTATTTAATGATCAAAATAACTGCCAGGTAATTTTCCCTCGATTGTTGCAGACCTACTGGGATTCAGTCCACCTAAGACACACAGCCGTTTCTCTGTTCTTCTTCTCCTTCTTCTGTGTGAAGATTTGGATATTTCTCTCTCTCTAAGATACCCTGTTATCACGCAGGTTGTTTAGACTAAAGGGGTTTTCCACAAAAACAGATTGAGCCTTCCAAACCCGTGGCTCACCGGCATTTTCTGCTTTATTAGAGACAGGGAAAGGATGATAAATTCGAAATGTCAGATGGTGAGTGGTTTGTCTGAGTGCACTTCTTGTGAAGCAAACACTTGAATGGAAACTGACTGTGGATTCACGCTGGAAATGTCATAATGCTCTGCCACCGTGAAATGGAAATCAAAACTTTCCAAGGCAAATAGCTCCCCGGTGGCAAGAATGAGAGAACATAAATGTAAAAGTGTCCCAGTAAATCACCTGCTACTACTTTTTCAGAGGTTGTACACAGCGTCAGCCTGGGACAGGTATATCCAGCATGTGTTACCACATGCCAGGCATGCTGTCTCCACCTCCCTAGTCTGTCTTCCATAGAAATAGAAGAGATAATAGCCTGTCAGCAACCTCTGTAATTGTATAATTGGAGCCTGTCAGAGGAGTTACTCAGTTCTGCGGGTCAAACCCTGGCTTCACAGTTGTGGTAAACTGACAAAAACGTGAAATGAAATATTATATTAATACTGTATTAGTATAAAATACTGTGTGTAGCACATGTATGCAAAATTCTGCGATTGTATTATGCATTAGGTGGGTTTGAATGGCTGCCAAATGTTTCGTGACAGAAAAGAGTATGTTTAGCTGCTGTCAGCATCTGAGCAGCTCATTGTTATCCATTAGGAGCAGCTAGTGCACTGTAAGAGCCTTACCAGGCAGGGGGTGAGTTTCTCAGCCACTTAATCCGGGACGCGCTGGGAAGAGTAAAACTACATGCAAGTCACTTATAGTCAACAACATTATGCTATTGACACGCCGCCACTGCGTGAAAGAATATAACAGAACCTAATCATCTAGTTTAGTGGTAGAATAAACCGTCTAGATCGCAAATAACTCAAGTCTGATCGATTTTCTGTCACTTCCAGAGGGATTTCAGATGCTTAATGTGTGCATTTGTTGCTATCAAATTCTGAGAGCCACTAGGAATTGATCTCAGTGTTGGAACTTATTGATGAGGCAGACGCGGTTGGGGATTCTTTTAATTAGAACAGGAAGGGAAACAAACACAGATACCAAATTCCATTTTTGGCTGAGTAATTAAAGGTTCCCTGCAAAATATAAAAGTTGTTAAACAGGCATGAGATGTTAAATTGTTTCATCTGCAAAGCTCTCTAATTGCAGTAGGAACGACACCTGAATATAGTTCCAATGAGACAGTTTCACTGTCAAATCATTCACATGCTGCTACAGTCAAATCAAGAAATTGTCTGTGGGAGACAAAGATTGCTTTAAAGCGGATGGCAAAGGCTGCAAAACATCTCTTTTACCTGAAGCAAAGAATGAATTAAGAAAAAAGAAAAGGGATTGTGTTTGCTTTTCTAGAGAATCACACTAATCACACACTTTACATATCAATAGACTCGGAGAAAGCATTCATGTGGATTAACTGTTTAAATACGGTTTAAGAAGATAATCTGAGAATACTGCATACATGAATAAATTTAGCAGTCCGGGTACTTGAGAAGATAACAGCTGTCAGAAACATAGTGTCATAGTTGATCTTTGGTTCATCTTCTTGTATTAGGTCCATTAGTCTTGTAAATGTAAATGGTCATTTTTATGTTTGATAAAGCATGGCAGGTGGTTCCGCTGTGTTGTTCCCATGCTCTCTCCTGCTGTGAGTATCAGTTTGTGTAGCAACTCCATGCTTCGGTGCCATAAAAGGACATGCAGGAGTCCCTTCCCCACTTCTTGCTCAATAATTTAATGCTGCTTGGTTGGCTTTTATCAGAAGATGACCATGAAAGAGAAACTAAACGGGTCGAGCACTGACGTGTGTACTTGGTTGGGGAATTTATTGCTCTCCTCCGAGGACAGCCAGTCCACATTTGGAATGCTTGTGAAATATTTACAGGAGTCACCGACACAGGAAATCAACACTGTCAACGCTGCAGTTTAAAATAGAGGGCTCACTGTCAGAAACTGATTGTCTCTTCAGCCTGTCTATCATGCCTGCCTTTTTACGTACAGACAGATTTGTTAGCGTCACTTCCACCGGTTAAAGGATTACACTCGTATCCTGTGGAAATTTCTTCAAAATTCCCAGTAAATCGTTCCAGCATAGATACCAGCAGCCATGTTACCATGGTGTCTGGCTTTCTCTGCTCTGGCAGTTCCTAACAACCAAGAGCAAAAAGGTCACGACCGCTCCAGCCGACAACTGTTGGGTGAAATCAGTGGCTCACACGGGGGGCACAAATAACTTTGCACCCCGTCTGAATTGGAACAACTGAAGGCTCTCGGGCGAGCACAAGAGGAGCGGGATGATCTGGCTTCAAGGAAGGTCACGTATGTTGTCCTCAGCCTCCTGCCACCCCCGCGCTGCACTTAAAGGAGCTTTTGCACAAGTTCAGTTGACAATAGGCTGCATTCCTCCTAGAAAGTGTGGAACTTGCTTTGCTGGCACTTGAAATGCTCTTCACGGCATTCATCTGGACTCCTGCTTTTGAAAACAGTGCCCTCACTGTTAAGACCCCTCTTTGGAGGACAAACGCTCACTTTGAGACTGAAATACCCAAATAAGTTGTGACATATACAGCGTATCGCCTTGTTGACAGTGACAGCATGTCCCAATTGCCAGACTATGAAGTAAACAGCCTCTCTGTGTGTGGTTACCTCCCGCAGATTTGTCAGCGGACCCTAGTCTGTTTTGTTTTGGTTCTTGAACCTGAGCAGACTTTAGATAGGCTTGTTTAAAATTAGAGAATGTCACACAATAAACACTGAATCTGACTGTACAGCAGGCACATAATACAAGAGGTCCTCCGTGTTTGACAGGAGTAAAGAATTTCATTATGACGCATGATTTCCATGTTCATACATGTTCCCCTGCCCTAAGGCTTGAGAGAGATTTTTTAACCACAGCAGGTTCCCACCACTAAAAGTGAACTGAAAACATATTTTCTTGCTGTATAGCATTTCCAGTGTATTTATTGATGTTCAGTTGTGTATAAAGTGGACACTTTGTGGACGAAGTGTTTAGATTCTTTACTTAAAGGTCCAGTGTGTATCACTTTGGGGAATCTATTGGCACAAAGGCTATAGGTATGTTTTTATTAGTGTATAATCACCTTAAAACAATGTTTGTTTGTTTTTGTTATCTTAGAATGAGCTGTTTTTATCCACAGAGGCCACCATGCTGAATCGCCTTGTTTCTGTGGTGTCCCAGAACAGACGAACCGATCGATAGGGCTTTTTAGGTTTTTTTTCCGCAGCCACCGTAGTTCCTCATACACGCTTGGAACGCAAGGGTGAGACGAGGAGGTTTTAATCTCCCTCTACACTGCTAGAAGCCACTAAATCACACACTGGTTCTTTAAGTGAAAGTAGCAATATCATAATG